TTTTAAGCCAAAAAGTGCCTTTTGAATTTAATTTCCCATAAGAACTCTTCATCTATTTCCATAAGTGCCCCTTCAATTTCCACACTGTTTCATAAGCGCCCGTTTAAATAAGCGCCCGGTTTAAATAGGCGCCCCTCAGAAAGTGCAAAAAATATTTTAAATGCCCTGGCGCTTATTCGCTCGAGTACGGATTCAATTTTAAATCAAGAAAACTATGGACTTTCTATATCTTTATATATATTTTAACATGGCCTCCCATTACAAAAAAAGTTTCTTCAATAACTAATACAGCACAGTAATCTTATCATTTACTTTACTTATATAATATTAAGCGTTAGCAGATTGCTCTGATTTTTTTCTATATCTTTTATATATTTTAGACACTTGCAGTGATGTTTCCAACAATGAAGAAAGTAAAGACAGACCTAATGAAACATGCTTAATATCAGTAAAAACAGAATATTCTGTTATTGAAAATTGTCATCTAAATTTGTTTCCTGTTAATAATATCCATGAGAAGAAAAGTATGAATGAATGCAATGAAGTTGAAAAACAATTTGAAATGTCTAGCAGTTCAGAGAAAAACATACAAATGTGTGAAGAGGTATATAAATGTGAGCATTGTGGAGATTATTTTAATTTAATTAATTTGAATGCACATGGGAATTGAAACAGAAGATGCACCATTACAATTTGAACAATGTGGAATACAGCCATTACATGAATGTGAACATTGTGAAAAGAAATTTAAAGACAGTATTAGTTCAAAATCACACATGATGATACACAAGTGAGACGCACCATACAAGTGTGGAAATAAATTTAAAAATGTTATAACTTTGAAAACACGTATGAGGATACATAAAAGATCATATGAATGTGAATATTGTGGAAAAAAGTTTAGTAGAAATGACACTTTAAAAACACATTTAAGGATACATACAGGACAAACACCATATGAATGTGAACTTTGTGGGAAGAAGTTTAATCATTTGGGTCATCTGAACAGACATTTAAAGATACATGCAGAAGAGACATCACATGAATGTGAACATTGTGGGAAAAAAATCAAACAAATGAGTGATTTTAAAGTACATTTGAGGACACATACAGGAGAAAGACCATATGAATGTGAACATTGTGGAAAGAAGTTTAGTAGAAATGACACTTTGAAAATACATTTAAGGCTGTCTCTTATACACATCTAGATGTGTATAAGAGACAGGATCAGTAAATTTAGTCATTTGGGTCATATGAAAAGACATTTAAAGATACATACAGGAGATCAACCATATGAATGTGAACATTGTGGAAAGAAGTTTCGTGAATTGGGTCATTTGCAGAGACATTTAAAGATGCATAAAAGAGAAACAGCATATGAGTGTGAACATTGTGGAAAGAAATTCAGACTCAGTCATGATTTCAAAAAACACATTTGAAGATACACACAGTAGAAATGCCATACAAATGTGATCTTTGCGAAAGAAAATTTAGATACTTTAGCCATTTGACAGCACATTTAAGGTTACATACAGGAGAAACACTGTATGAATGTGATCAATGTGAAAAGAAATTCAAAGACAGTACCACTTTGAAATCACATGTAAAGACACATACAGGGAAAAGACCTTATGAATGTGAACATTGTGGAAAGAAGTTTAGTAGAAATGACACTTTGAAAATACAT